TGCTCCTTTGAAGGTGGTGTAAGTGACTGGAAGAATCTTTTCACTGAAGATCAGAATGAGAAAATGGACAAAGCATTTGAAGAACATATAGCAGGAACGAAACTTGGGAAAAAGTTGAAGTATGACTTGTACTGCAAAGCCTGAAGAGAAATGAAATGTGGTTAGAATAAGAACTTTGCAAGGCAGACTCAGATGATCTAAATGCTATACACTGGAAACCTAGATCAAATGATCCAACCACCATACGATTACTCTACGAGTCATTGTAGCAGCCTTTACAGTGACACTGATGAGTGATGAGCATTTTGTTTTGTGGTGAGATCTATAGCTGCACCCATTTCCTGAAGAAGATGTCCACTAATGATATTTACAAATACTCAACAGCCTTTTTCCAGCTGTCACCTGCAAGGAAATTCTTCTTTTCTTTCTAGACGAATCCTGTCTGTGTAGCTGCTTTCTAATTATTTAGTATGCAGATTATTTTTTCTTCAAAAATGTTTCCAATCAGTCAACATCTTCACAGAAAATATCACTAGCAAAAACAGGGATATAACAGAAGTCTAACAAACAAGATCATCCATGAATTCGGCACAAATTTTATCAAAGCTAGAGAAAGGAAAAAGAAGGGGAATATGGATCAGTGTTTGTAGGGCTCTTCATCTCTCTGAATGCAAAATACCAAGATGGATTTTGGATATGGTCAGAAATTAAGAGGCAAGATTCAGTCAGAGGCACTGCTTTTTATAGGATCACAGAGCAGCCCAGGTTGCAAGAGACCTTGAGAAATCATCTGGCACAACCTTTCATGGGAAAGGAAGCCTGGATGAGGCTAAATATCTAAATATCATATCTTGAAATCTCCAGTGATGAGGATTCTACCTCATTTCTGTAGGCATTGTTCCAGCAAATGGTTGTTCTTGCTGTGAAGAACTTACTTCATTTATCAAGATTAAACCTCTCCTGTTGCAACTTGACCTCACTGCCTCCTTTCTTCTGCATGTGTTTTCTGCTGAATAGGGAGCCAATATCCTCTTTGCAGCTGCCCTTTAAGCACTGGAAACTGTAATGTGGGTGTCCCTGAGCCTTCTCAACTTTGTGGTCCTGCCTTGGAACCTCTCTGCTTTCTTTGTGTCATTCTTGAAAATGCTTCTATTAAGACAGTGGTGTTCTCAAGAGTGATGGTGTGAGACATTGCTCTACCTAGATCTCTTTTACTGCCATTGGGATTTCCCTCACTAAACACAGTATTTTAGATTTTTCAAGGCACCTCTTCTGGAAAACAAAAAAAAGTCAAAATAAGGTTCTGCAAGTATAGTTGGATTAAAACCAGGAAAAGTCCCAGCCAACTCATTGATCCATCAACTGAGCAGCTAAGGTGTAAAAATAAAAGATGGAGTGTGAAAGAATGAAATACTGAAAGATTTTTTGCTTCATTCTTCTAAAGTTGGTTGGTTCTGCTTGGACATACATGGACATGCAGTGTTTTGGAAAGAAATTGGAATGCTAGAAGTAACAACACTTCGAATATTTAGAAAAGAAATGAATGGATTCAAAAGCAGAGCAGCAGAAAGTCCTGTGGCAAGGCGTCTTTGAACGACTGCAAATTATCTGTAAGAACCAGAAAGGTACCAGAGGAGAACTCCATAACAGCAGCGTTTAAAAACTTGAGATGGAAGAATCAGAATAGAACAGACACTTTAACTTGATACAGGGAAATGTAGTAGCAAAAATGACAAAGCAACTGACCATGGAACATTTTGAAAAAAATGAAATAGTAAATAAAAATTATGATAAAGAATTTGGTGGTCCTCCTTAAGATAACTTACCTCTTGAAAGAGCCACTGACAGAAAATAAAAGAGATGACAGCATTGGGGAGGACCTGAAATTATGTGAATTAAGAGACACAAATTGATGTGGAGATGGCAATGTACAAATGTGGCTATAGAAACGAGAATACTGGAAGTAGACTTAGAAATTCATGCAACAGCAATACAAGGCATTCAGAAGCAATGACAAGAGCAGCAATACTTTCAGGAATACCCACTTGTTCCCATGGATATGATGAACTTGGTTGCAATTGTTTGCTTTATGATCACACTGCATATACTGGTTATTAGTAAAACTGGGAGGGCAATTAAAACAATCTCCTTTAGTGGTGAGTTCTGATCACATTCAATCTTGTTTTTAACACTGATATTATGACTAATATCATACACTAATCTAATATCATACACTGTATCATAAATGACTGACTTTTAAATCTGGGGATCAGAATAGAGGGCTGAAAATACTAGGAAAAAAGGCAAAACAATTTGAAATGTAACTCATTGACAAGATTAGGGAACCCAATGTTTAGTAATGGTAAGTGTAAAACTCTCTATTTAGAAAAGTGAAGCCAAATGAGCAGGTACTTGATGGGGGTAAATCAGTCAGGCAGCAACTGGCATAAGAACACCTGAGGAATCACTTAGCAAGGACTAACATGATGACAGTGCCAGAAAAAAAAGGCTCAGATCTTATTCTGGTCTTGCTGATCTGGTTGAAAACCTGACTTTGTTCTGATTTTGCATTTTATCCTCTCCTGTGTCATCCCAAGGCTTGAATTCAGTCCC